CCCCATTTGTCACACAGTCCCAGTTTTAAATGCAAATATTTTGTTATTGTGGCAAGGAAATTTCAGTTTGCCGCGCTGTTATTCACAAAAAGCAAATGGTTTAAAGCAGTCCCTTCGCAGTCTATCAATGCATAGACACATCTCTACTTCTCTGTTCCCATATAATGATTGGGATTGATCTTGATTTACAGACGCAACTGTAAAATCTATATTTACTAATTACTATTCATTATGTTAATGACTGGATTTTTAAGCGACAGTAAGATTGTAGTGAAGAAACTTGTTAGCTTCTGGATGTTTCTGTATATTCCTTTTGGCGGTCATCTTATCTTCCTTACTGGACTGCCATTTTATCACCACCGTTATGATGACAGAAGGATTGTGAAATCACTTTTGTAGTTTGACTGTTGTGGGCGGAGTGTGATGCATTGAAGTTACGAGAAATACAAACATCTAAAATGTTATAATTTGTGATGTTGAAGACAATATACAACTTGTGATACATAGGCGTAAAAGGAAGGATAATATTAAAATGTTTTTAAGGATTTAGAGTATGTGAGAAGAGGTCAACTACTGACTTTTGTGAATAAGTTGATGAATCTTGTGACTCTATAAAGATCAAATATTTCGTGGCCAGGTGACAGAGTAAAAAATATCAACACGGGCCCCGCTGAATGGGGTTAGGATAAGTTCACTTTGGCTGAATTTTTTATATCCTGTGACATGTTACTGATTGTGTGTGTGCAGGAGGACCCCGCATGGCATCTCTCGTGCCCAATTCCGCAAAGTATGACCCTGCAGAAGACACGTGGACCGAGATCCCTGCCATGAACTTCAATTCACATGACTTAAGCGCAGAAGTGTTCGACGATATGATCTTCGTCATCGGTTTAAAATATGGCGAGACCAACTACCTCCCCCATGTCGAATGCTTCAGTGACAAGGAAAATCAATGGTTTGTTTCTTTGTTTGTTTCTTTGTTTGATTTTTCAGGGCTGTATAATCACAGACTGTTACTTTCGAAAAGCTCTAGGAAGTGAATCGTTTCCGGTCAAAATAACCGCGATCTTGCGGATGCTGCACCGTGTAGTGACGTAGAAACTGACCGAAGTTTCAGAGGTTCTTACTGCTTACTCAGGGCTTTGAATACAACGCGCGAAAAATGGGTGAGAGGAAGGAGGTTGAATGAAGGCAGGCAGGGCTACGTTGCGGTCAAGTCCAATGGTTAAAGCAGAGGGCGAATGACTAGGAAATGCTAATCAGACGTAAGCTGTAACTGCATTAATAAGAAGCTCTTTGACCAAGTTTCTTTGACCAATGGCACTCTCTTGGGCAGGAAGTTTCTGGCGTTCAGCTCATCAGCATCGCCATAAACTTCGGCTTTCATCAAAGTGTTAGGCCAGTTTCAGGTTCAACGACGCCTACCGTCTTATGGCCCCATTTTTGATGGAAGTATATTTGGAAATCGCTGTTGAGGGAGTGAGTAAAGAGCTCTAAAAACATCCCAGAAGAAAAATTTCTTCATACTTGTATGAGCAAGTGCCAAAAATCCCACAGAAATTCATTTGATTTTGGTTTGTGTCTGTCTTAAGTGTAACAGAACCTCTCCATAACTATTTTTGATGGGACAATTTTTTTGACGTAAATACGTCTATATTTTCGGGTCAGTGTCATTCGGCAAAAAGTGAAACGAAAAAGTGTAACTGCATTGTTATGTTACCTTGGAAACTTCAATTGTTTACTCGGCATTATTGGTACCAAGGAAACGTCATCTGTTTACTTATCATTGTTGTTACCTATAAATCATTTCATTACATTACCTTACATTACATTACCTTACATTACCTTACCTTACCTTACCTTACCTTACATTACATTACATTACGTTACCTTACATTACATTACATTACATTACATTACATTACCTTACATTACATTCAGCTACCACAGACCCATCTTAAGCGTAACTAATTCAAGTTAAATAAGCAAAGTCTTAATCAAACTTTACTCAATATAAAGGAATAAAGGGTATAAAGGAAATATTTAGAATAAAGCCAATATATAAACTTCCTTTCCGTATAGACGTATTTACGTCTAATTCTCCAGAACCATCGTTCCACTGTAACTTTTTTTTATCTATGATCTATGTACATGAGTGAAAGAAAGATCACGTGTGAACTGTTCTGAAATATGGTGTAAATCTTCGGCTTTCATCGAAGTGTTAGGCCAATTTCCGGTTTAACGACGCCTACCGTCTCATGTCTCCATTTCTGCTGGAATTTTTTTTGGAAATGGCTGTCTCCTGGAGTGTTTGACCATGCAGTCTCCTGCCATCTGTTGACGGAGTTGGTAAGGAGCTCCAAAAACATCCCAGAAGACAAATTTCTTCATACTTGTTTGTGAAAGAGCCAGAAGTCCCACAGAAATCCATTTGATTTTGGTTTTTGTCTGTTTTACGTCTAGCAGAACCTCTCCAGAACTACTTTTGGTG